CAAATCCCTTTAAATAGAACTCCACTTAAATGTTTCTACTGCATTCTGCACCATATTCCTATGATCACTGCTGCACTTTATATATGGAAATGATTTCACTGCTGGGAAAGCTGTATGCATGGACATTTTGTTTTACTCTGTGCATACAAAATGACAATAAAGTTTGTCTAAGTCTTTAAGAAGCTAGAATAACTTCAGCTCTCCTGGAAAGACTTCCCCCGAGGTTTAGGAGTTTGTTTATGGGGGGTCTTTTTTCAGGAAAACATGCATGAAGTCAGACACAGATGTTTGATGGAAAGGCCAATAGATTTATGCTCTAAAGCGAACCTGTCCTGTTCGTTCAGCCCCAAACTCATGTCTTCATCAATATTATATTGTGCACAGATCTGACGACATGTTGAAACGTTAAGACAGTTAATCTCCAAACTATTTGCACAAAATTGCAACACAAATTACAACAGAATTACAACGATTAATCAATTCTCTTTTTAGCTTCTACAAACTAATATGAAATGTCCTCAAGAACACAAATGTATTAATTCATTTAAGACTACCATGTGCCCTCTAACCTGTCCCATTTACATATGGTTTCTCCATTTTACAATACAGTTTATTCACTGCAAATCGTTCGAGTCTGACGTCTGCTTTTCTCCTCTATATCTGCATTTTTATTTTCATGGTTAGTCCTGGCAAAAGGACTGGACTAAACATAAACTCTCACTGATTATCTTTGAAAACATCTGCCAACATTTACCTGTTTCAGCTCTTGAACTTCATCCCGTAGGGCGTAAACCACATCCACCAGACTCCTTCAATGAGATCAGATTCACATGAATCGTTAAATAAGTCAGTATCTGTCATATTCAGGCTGTGTTTCACAACTGATCAGACTGATCAGATATTTACATCACCACCTTCATAAATGTCACATATTGGTCTTCTTTAAATAGTCGCCCAACAATGGGAAATACTTTGGTAAGGTTATCTTACATACAACATGTCTTCTGATATATTCTAAAGATATTAGGCAGATGCAGCTCTACAATACAGCTTCTGAATCAACAATATCCTGGTATATTTTTAGTAACAGGCCACTCCTATTGGTTATCATGGAGCTCATCTAAACAGTTTTTCTTTAAAACCTTTTTAAGAGAATTAAAGTTAGTCTGCTCAGAATGCTCAAAAGCATTCACATGTATCAAGCTTTAACCTGACAAATCTCAAGTGATACCCTTGGATGGAAAAAAAAAAAAGATCCCTTCATAGACTGATCAATATAGGGCAGATATCTGACCCATTTGCTCAAAAAGTCAAAATGAGATCCAAATGTTTAGCATATAGGAGGTAGCATTATCCTGGGGGTTTGTTTTGAGAAGACGAATACTTCTAAATGCTCGAGTCTTCCCTCTAATCAGCTGCTAGATGGGGGAGACTTAGACACGATTTGGCAACAAACCAAATTAAACCAAAGATCCTAAAGACTTATAACTGATAGATTATGCTTTCAGGTCTGAACTATTTCAGGAAACCACCCAGTAATATGGTTCTATAAACTGCTGGAAAGTATGTTCAAACATCAAGCCTGAGGTACATTGGAGGGTTATGGCCAGCTGCACTATAATTTTAAAAAGTTTGTTGAAAATCTACATTTAAAGGGGGGAAAAAGCTAAAATTCTGTTATTAAAAATTCTTAAAGTTGTAATTTGTAACACTGAGCCAACATAGAAAAGAAAAGGCTAGCATGCATCAGTGAAATCAACAAAATAAATAAATATAATGCCAAGGAAAAGTGCCTGTAGAAAAAATGTCTGATCACCACCGGCAGTGACTCTTACTTTTCTTCCAGTGCACTTTGTCCGTTGCGATTTGGATCGTCTAGAAAAACTTTCTCGTCACTAGGGATGATCACATGCAGCCCCGTGTCGGGTCGCGATCCTGGGTCAAAACAGAGAAGGAAACAACCACTGGTACTTCACTGTCTGATCTGGTTTTGGTCAGCGAGTGGCAGTGGAGCACCACTCTCTGCTGGGGTTACAGGAAGCATGCTGGTACTAGCACGTTAGTCAAGATGTGAAAACAAGAGTAAGGAAAGTAAAAGACCTGAAAAGTAGGAGAAAGGATCTAATAACCAACAGAAGGCCAGTTTCTATCAACTGATAGATTTATTAAAACTGATAATACAGCATTTGGGACTTTTAACACTTCAGTAGTGTAGAACAAATACACTGTAGGCTGCATTAAAAGAAAGGACACGGTCAGGTGGAACTTTAATGCAACATTAGAGCACACAGAGGACAATGTTGGCTAAAGACAATGTTTGTTTTTCACCCTGTCTGTCCAAGAGGTTGACTAGATTAACCACAGAATACATCTGTCACAAAGTTCAGCACATGATAGAAGAGCAGCCATATTCTTAGATCTTTTTTTCTTGTTGCTATTTCTTTTTTTGGCTGCAAGACAACTATTTACAAAAAGGGACATAATGTGCTCTTTATATGCCAAGTCCACTCTAACAGCCGTCTGAAGTTAAAATAAATTAACTTCTTCATTTCTAGTTTGTTCTGATTTTTTTTTTCTATCTTCAATGCCATCAAACCATTGAAGGAGAGCATTTACACTACGAATAAGTATTCACTTTACAATTACACTGAATACTTAACTCTATCTTTAAGATTATATCATAAAGAGTCTTGGTAGACACTAAAAAGTACTGAATTTCATTGGGTCCACACCTGTTACTCCCTTTCGCGAGTCACATGATTGTGCAAAATAATTAAAACATTTCATTATTAGTTGTAAACTTTAACACAGATCAAATAAAACCGATCAGAAGGGGAAAAATATTCTTCCAGAGATCATTTTGTAAACATTGACATACACCGTTTCAAATCTACAGATAAATAATAAAAAAAGAAATACTAATATCTGTACAAAATTATACGAACAACTGTACCATGGACCCCTTATATACACACATATCTTCCTCGTGTCATTCTATTTTTGCTCACTGTATAAGGATGCTTATGTTGTACTTTTCATAACGATACTGGAAAAATACTTCTTCATAAAAATAGGTATTAATGAGAGAAATAATGGGAGGCCTTACAAGCTAACAACTGTAGGTGGAGCTGATGAGGTGCTACAGTTTTCTGATTTCTGCAGGCGAATTGATCTGACAGGTTAGGCTTATATTTTTTATTCTCGAACAAAAGCAGTGAAAGATGGGATCCATGATGAGCTAACCCACAATCGACACACAGCTTTCAGCTTGAGCTTGTAGGTTTAAAGAGCAGATGCATTTTCCTGCAAACTTTGAATACCATGCTAAACAAATTAGTCCCTCTGATGGAGAAGATCATATATTAGGATGAATTTCTGTCCATAATCGGTGTTCAAATAAAGTGCATTGAGGAAGTATTCACATCAGTTAAGCTTTTTTATTTTTTCACGTCACAACAGCAAACTGCACTTAGTGTCCATCTAACAAATCTTTGTTTAGTTAAAAAGTCTCTGAACCAGTTTTGCGATTAATATACTGAGCAAAAGCGGATTCTGTTAGATTATTAATCTTCTTCTGAGAAGATTTTACATAAAATATGGGCAATAAACTGCAAGTACAGAAAGATCTCTTGTTTTCAGAATATATATCATGACTTCAAGACATCTTACCAAGTGTAAGTGCAACTCCATTTACTTAATTTAGAGAATTTTCTCTAAATTATATTAATTTTCTAACAATCTGTTTTTGCTATGTATATTAATCTTAAAAGAGGATTAAAAAATACCTTTTAGCTAGATATCAGATTGTAAGAATTGATTAGATGGACATTTTTTGCAGTGCAAACTTTCTGTTATTTCAGTAGGAATTAATATGATAAGCTTATGTTGATACTGAAGGAGCAGCAGATTCGTTGTTCAAGAGGAAAATTTTGCTGTAATTCTCTCCACACGGATAAACTTTCTTTTACGGAAGAAAGAAACTACCAGTATTGAAGCTTAAAACCAATTAACCATCGTGTATAAAGTTTGCTACAAGACATGTCGAATAAACAGCGAAAGGATCCTGTTCAGACCTTGTCTTTACATCCATATTGGTTGATTTAGTTCCAAAAGGGCAGCTTTAAGCCCAACTCTTCCCTTCTAGCAGAATCAATCTGTTTCTAGCAACATTACATTATAGGCATTAGCTGAACAAACAAACAGGACAACAGGCCGGATAAAATTTTTAGTGGAATTCCACCATTATCCGTACAAATCAAGTGACTGGTAGCATTTTTCAGAAGTAAATAATCGCAGCAGGTACAGCTATTTCCAGAAACAAATACGATAATGTAAGGAAAACTAAAGCTGTTTTATGTTGACCCACTAAGGGATGTAATCCAGTCCCATCGATACACATTCTAAGAACAAATATTGAATTGTAAAAAAGCTTACTGATGACATCAGATGAAAATTTAGACAGAACAAATTGCTGGAATGTAAATTACTACTCCAGAAAATGTGCTTGTTGCAACACAATAAAAGAATTTACCAAAGAACTACTGCTCTCATTTCAGGTTCGATCACAGACAATGATTTGGAGATATTCACCATTTGTTTTTTATATGTGATTTATGCAAGAGTGAGGAAGAGTTTTCTACATTTTTGGTAAACAAAATCCCAGCAAAATACTTTGAAGATAGTTGTGACTTGAAAAATATATTTTTAGGATCAATGCACCATGAACACCTTTGCAGCTTTATTTTGTGTATTTTAAAATTAGCGACCAATTGCAATAGGACCCATTTTTTACGGTCTATCAAAGAATTCAGCAAAATGCTTACCTGCTCTTGCACTTAAAGAATCTTGATTCAAACTGTGGATTTCAAGGAATCAGATTAGCTCTCAGGATATTCCTGAATACCTTGTAGGAAAGTGCTATAAAAGAACGCAATGATAATTACTGGCCTTTATATTTAGCAACAGATTCACTAATCAAAGTGTGTTATTTTCCTACAGCAGTGGGGTTTTTTTTGTCAATTCAACATTAGGTCATGAAAGACTTAATGTAAAATACAGAGAATCTGCATTTGCAAGCTTTATTCTGCAGACAGGAGAGAGATTTGTGCCTGAACACGTGTGCCTGTTTAGCATGTGCTATCTCTGAGCAAACGTACCCCAAAACTACATACTGAAAAAGAACAAATATATGATCAATTAAAGACACTCATTCTTGAATTGCATCTGAATATCAGACAGGAAAAAAAATAAGTCCACTGTCACTCCCTCCCCTAAACTACTCAGCAAAACATCCATACTCTCCAATCAGAGTCCACCCGATTTATGGCTAAACAAAGAGAGTGGTCACATTCAAGATAAATGAACAATAAATAGCTAACACTTACTGCATGACATCTACAGAAAGAGAGGAGGCACAAAAAAGGGAAAGGCAACAGGAAAATGCAGAAAACATCTTCAAGCAAGCTGTCGAAAAATAATTTAAAGCAATAAATTACCCAAATAAAAGTACAAAATAAATTTATAAATTAAAAAAAATCTATTTCTTTAATACATCTAAGAGGTAAGCGCACTCTACGTTACATTATGTTACAGCCGGACGGCGCAGTACATTCTCTAGTTCTGGTGCGAGATGCAACTCTTTCGCGGCACCGACCCCATCCTGTAACTGTGGGTGGTCCAGATGGAGTCGTAGTCAGAGTCCTCCGACAGGTCGGAGCTCAGTTCTGGCCGGGACACGCTGCTGCGGCGGCCTGGCGAGTCCACGCAGGACTGATCCATGTCGGCGAGCACGTGGTTGTGCATCAGGTCGGTGCCCTGCCAGGCTGGTGGTGCCGGGTTTTTTTTTTTTTTAATAAATGTGGAGGGAGGAAACGGGGAGTTGAAGAAAAGGGGGATGGGGACGGTGTTCGCAAAACACAACAGATGGCAAATAAAAGAAGGAATGAAAGATGCAAAAGGTAAAGATGGAGGGAATTATGACAGGGTATGGTAAATAAAACATTAAAATGGGAAAAAGGTGCTCAAGATAAATCAGGAAAAAAAAGCCAAAAAGAAGGATGCAGGAAAGAGAAAGAAAGGAGAAATTGTTAGAAGGAGCAGCTCAGAATACCAGCGTTAAAGATAGGCAGAGAATAAAGGTCATGTTTCACCAAGCTATGGGCTGACTGATGCCATTAAAATACATCAAGCTTCAACAACAATGTAAAAAAAATGCTCCATAATAATGTTCTTAATTAGACTGCACTGCAACAAAGGAAATATGGATCATACTAACACAACAAACACCAGAATGAGTCTCTATTTCTCCTCTAAATGAACATTTATTAGATTTCTATTCGTCTTACTGGAGTTGAGAGTCTGCCTGGTTTTGGCGCTGGTGCAGTATGCTTCGATGACTTTCAGGATCTGGGCGTCCTCTTCCAGAGCAGCCGTACCTCAGAGGGGGAAAGCAAAAACTTATTTTACTCCTATATTTACAGTTTATGAAAAATAGAAGACAAATCAACAGTAAATAGTGCTGTCACTTTTTTTTTATTCAGATTTCTTGCTTTAGGACCTTTTGGTCAACATATTGCTTTCCTGCAGCTTCTAACTCAACCCAAACAACTAAAAACTCATCTAACAGGGTAGAAGAGACCGCATTCACTTCTCAAGGGGTCAGACTGTCACTTTCTGGGAGAATTAGAAGCACAGTAATAATGACGCTTAAGAGTCAGCCTTTTTATCACTTAAAGAACATTTCCAGGATTAAAGGTCTAATGTCCAAGCAGAACCTAGAAAAACGTATTCATGCATTTATATTTAGAATTGATCACTGCAACAGTGTCTTCAAAGGTTTGCCTAAAAAGTCCATCAGAGAGCTGCAGCTGATCCAAAACGCTACCCATGTTCTCACTAGAACTAAGAAAGTAGAGCACATCAGCCCAGTTCTGACATCCTTCCACTGGATCCCTGTAGCTCAGAGAATAGACTTTAAAATCCTTCTGCCTATAAATCACTGAATGGATCACCACCTCAATACATAACAGATTTGTTGTCAGTGTATCAACCTCTCAGACCACTCAGGTCTTGTAGATCCAGTTTACTCTGTACACCCAGAACCAGAACCAAACATGGATAAGCAGCATTTAGTTTCTACGGTCCACTGATCTGGAATACACTATCAGAACAGTGGAAAAGAGCTGAAAGCCTGAGTTATATTATTTCAATGTTAAAAAATATATATATATATATATATATATATATATTAGAACTGCCTTTGACTGTTAAACTGTTAACTGAGGTATCATCAGTTTGAGGTACTGGTCCAACAGTTTTATTTGATTTTACTACCTTTTTTTTAACTTTATTTGCTGTTATTTTTCTTTTTTTTTTATTCATTAAAAGCACTCTAAGTTTTCTTTGTACTGAATCATGCTTTACAAATAAACTTGCCCTGCTTTTATGTATGAAGTTAGAATAGAAATAAAATAATACAACAGAGGCATCAACACTGAACTTCGGTCTACAGTTTAGAAAAAAAGTCCAAAGATTATTGACACATACTCTTCCTCACAGCAAATTCCTCCTCAGACTGTTTTCTCTCAGGTTTACGTTTAGGAAGGAGTTTCTTCACACTTTTAGGACTTTTACTAAGATCCTGCAAACAGGAAGCAGAAAATATGTTTTATAAGCAAGATTTTCCAAGTAAATGATAAATGAAAAAGGTCAAGCTTAAAAAGAGTCCCTTGCCTCTTTGTAGCAGAGTGCAGCAGAGGGCCGTAGCGGCGGCGCAGGCCGCAGGCAGCTCAGGCTCCAGGGTTTGGGAGTGTTTGGGGGCTCCAGGGGGCCCCACGTCATTGTGCTGTGGGATGTTCCATGAGAGGACGGGTGAGGCAGGGTGTGGTAGGTGGGAGCCACCGTCATCGCTCTGCTCTCAGCGTGCCGGGATTGAGTGAGTGGATGAGATGGAAGCTAAAAAAATGAAATAAAATCTATTTATTATTAAATAATCATTTTAAAAATGTTTTTTGGCAATAAAATCATACTTTAAAATACAACACTGTAAGGCTTCAGATTATGGTTACAGATTATGCAAAGCCATAACAGCGTATTGATTACTAGCATCACAGTAGGTGTGAAACAGACAGAAATGTTCAGTTTATGAAAAAAAAACAACGGGCTGTGTAACGATCCGCTGCTGACCGTGTGGCAGGGGACAGTGAGCGGTTTGTGGCTGGGGGCCGTGGCGGCGCTGTGTTTGATCTGTCTCGTCAGGTGCTCCACCCAGTCCTGCAGGTCCTGCTGGTTTGCGCACACCACCTGGAGACGGTCAAACATTGTGCCTGCACGCAGAGGGAGGGCCGTGTTTGAAAGGATTTCTGTGTGTTCATTAACCTCTTACTCTTCCCTGTCGTCTTACCGTTCAGCTCAAAGGCATTTTTATGGGCTTCACAGTCTTCCAGTTTGGTCACTATCATGCCGTTCAAAGGCAACTTTCTCTGAAAAGGAAAATGCCAAAAGGAGATGATTAAAGGAATAAATTTCCAGTCAGTTGCTTTATATTATACTGATGTACAGAGACGGGGATGTCTGACCTGAAATATAAAACCGCTCATCCTGGGACTAGCAGACAGCATGAGGAGGACGTGAGGAAACAGCATGAGGTAGCGCTCATTCTTTTCCTGGTCATAAAGAGAGAAGTGGGGGTGCGTGAGGATCTTAGGGAGAGGTTTTTAAAAAAATTTAAAATAACTTTGCATATTTTATTGTTGCTTAAACCTCACAGGATCATAAGGAACTGGAACCAAATAAGAATCAATATGTTTTTGGAAGGCTAAAGGAAGGTGGGCTACAGAAAAACAGGGAAAACAAACCAACTCTGTACAGAAAGTTTCAGGATATGGATCTACTTTAAACCCGTCTTGGTACTACATACATGGGTCCCTAGCGCAGCTATAATTATCCATCTAAGCCTTTATATTGTTTAGGGCTGCAACTAACGATTATTTTAAAAATCGATGAATCGGCCGATTATTTTTTCGATTAATCGATGAATCGGACAAAAAATTTTTTTTATATTTTATACTCTTTATTCCAAAATAAACATTTTAGACAGAACAAACAAGCACACAAGTACAGGTTGCTCATTAACTGCACTGGTGCAATAGGAAAAATAAATGTTTGTGTTAAAACTATGCAAACTTACATGAGAAATGTAGCTGTACATCCACAAAATATAGGGTACTTTGTTTCATAAAGCGCAAAAATACTTTTTTTTTTTTTAAAGCCCCTTAGGGGTTCAAACAACAGGCCCCCCCATTTCAACAAATGAGGTTTTTTTAGACTAATAGAGTTCTGCGTTTTAAGACAGGAAAGTATAGCAGTTAAAGTTGCTACTTGAGAAAATACTGAACCATAGAGATAAAAATAGCCCTGTGATTCAAAGTATAAATTGTAATTGGAATAAAAATGAGAGAACTAGGGGTGCTAAAAAACACATCCTCCAAAGACAGATATTTACATGGAAATGTGGCATATAATTAATTGGCATATTACTGATCTTGCCGGATTTTATTCTGCTTCACTTCCATAAATTGCAGGATCTTTACTTTATCTTTGCCAGAAGATTTAAACTTTAAAAGCCTTGTCCTCATAATTTGCAAGTTAATTTATTTATAAAGTAAATATAAACGCTGCTTAAGCTAATTCAAATGAAATTAAAAGTAAAATAAGTAGCCAACCTTATCACTGTCTGTAACCTACTAACACGGTAAGGGAAGCATCAGATGAGCTACCTGAGAAACCAACGTTACGTTTCCCCACTTTAAAACCAAACAAATATGGTGGTTCCGTGCCATGTTAATTTGTTTTGACAAAAGTTGCATGTTACGACTTTTTTCACTGTACAAAGCGCAGTCTATTTTATTTAACGTGATCAATTTGCGCCGTCAATCCCGGTGCATGCACGCTTCATTTGCAGTCTGGACGCTGAGGGTTAAAATCCTGCTGCTCTGACTGCAGCGCTGAGAGGGACTCCTGCGGGAGGTGCCCCGCGGGAGAGTAGGAATGATACATGCTTTCACGTAAGAGTCTCCAAAAGCCACCAGTGACACCGTAAAAAGTCGCCAGATTTGTCGCTAGTCGCTTTTTTTGAAAAATAGTCGCTGGAGGGGTCTGAAAAGTCACTGAGTTGGCAACACTGCACCTGCAGCGCTGGCTCGCTCTGTATTTTTTCTTCTTCAGTCAAGTGGATGTGATGACAGCGGCGGCGGATGACGCATTAATCGCACGACACAACTAATCGATGATGAAATTCGTTGCCAACGCTTTTAAAAGTCGATTTTTATCGATTTTATTGATTCGTTGTTGCAGCCCTAATATTGTTTTTCTTCCTCAGCAAGGATCTCATCTCAGCTGATCGAGCGAGGAAGGGAAGACAATTATGTGAAAAAAAGTTACACCCTGTGTGTTTTAAAGATAAATCAATATTTACCATTAATTATTGTAGCAATATAACAAAACGATACACTCACAAAAAAGAAAAAATATCTGAAAAATACACAAAACAAAAACATCAAATCAGGAGGACATGATCAGAAGATCATCACTCAGTAATGGAAGGAGGTTCAAACCTCTATGGGATTTAAAGATTTTAAAACACTGAAAGAGAACCAATGCTCAATCAAAAAGGAATGGCATGAGATTAACTTCAGCAAAATCATATGCTAACCTGAACACCAGAAAGAAGGCAAACCTTTAGAATAAATAAGAAGTCATTTAGATCAAATAATAATGCCCAAAACAAGAAAAAACATTTGAGGGACAGATGCCTTCATTAAGTTTAAGCTTTATAATTCATGTTTGAGCTGCACTGCTGAGGTAGCACTGCTGCCTTGCAGCAAGAAGGTTTCGGGTTCGATTCCCAGCCCGGGGTCTTTCTGCATGGAGATTGCATGTTCTCCCTGTGCATGCATGGGTTCTCTCCAGGCACACAGCATTCCTCCCACATTCCAAAAACATGACTGTAAGGTTAATTGGCTTCTATACATTCTTCTAAAGGGCTGGTTATGCTACCCGCAGCAGTGTGTCGCAGTGAGCTTGACGCAGACATTTTGGATTATGCTCAATTTTGAGCGTTGTCTGTGCTATACGCTGTGGGTCTAGATGTGGCCGAGGTGGTAAGGAAGTGGGGGCGAGTTTTGCCCCACAACGGAGGGACATGTACCTGGACACATCCAGGTGGAAAAAGGGTCCCAGTGTTCTCGCGCGCCTCAATCTTCTAGCTGGTCCAACTTCACGAGTTGTTTCCCGCAATTTCGGTCATAAAAACAAAACAGGCCGACCTCCTGTCTGCAGCACGGTCTGTGGTCACCTACAATTTCGGAAAGGCGCATCAGAGTGTTTGCGAAGGGGGTGAGGATGTCTTTTTGTTTACTGGGACAAGCGATGTTACATGACGATGTTCAATGTCTCATGCCTGAAAGCAGTGTTACCTCAGCACAGCATTTTATTGCCCGCATATATTATGCCTCAGCTAAACTACATATTTCTGCAGCCACATACATTACTCAGCTGTCATTCTCAAAAGCTAGGCTGCTTCTACACCATAAATCCACAACTGAAATTACAACTATGCATAAACCCACAAATCAGACCAATTTCCACTCCCATGTGTGACCACAAACCAATGCTCACATTTTTCTAAATAACCATTTGTTTATAAAAAAAAAAAAGCCGATTTTAAACGTCGGTTAAAATAATTTTAGAAAAAAAAAAAATTAATCACCAAAGTAGACCTGAAATACTGATAATATTTGCCTCTATTCTTAAACATAAAATAGAAAATGATAAGTTATTTAAGTTGTGTTGTTTCAATAGTATCAACCATTTCTTTTGAAATTACATAACTTTCTTCATTGGCATTCTAAAGTTGTTAGTCAATAAATCATAATAAATTCAAAATGTTCCTTTTTGGAAATGTATTTTTTCAAAGGAAGCTCAGAGTGAAAGACTTTATTTCTGTTCGTTTAAATTATTAAAACTTATGAATGAAGAACATTTAAAAGAAAATATGAATTTTACATAAAACCCAAGATTTTTAAATGCAGGAATGTTATTATGGTTTAAACCAGTTTCCCATCCTTTTTTGACTTGTGTACCCTTTGGGTATTTTGTTGTACAATGAGTACTGCCCCTCAGTCAAAAGTATTGATGATCGTCCAAAAGTGGACCGTATGATAACTGAAATAAAGACTATTAGGACAATGATCTCTGTGAGAAGCAGAATGGAGAGATACAGAAGATCTTTTGTCCCAGCTTTAATTAGACAGTTTATTGCCCCCTAAATGACTGTCATTATTATTTTTTAATCTAATGTTGCGTTTTTCATCCTATTTTATGTTTTTGTCTTTGCTATTTCTCTCTTTCTATCCATCTGTCCATCCAATTATATGCTTTTCATCTCAAATAAAAAAACAACATAAATATGTTGCCTGAAAGTTAGTAAGAAATTGAAATAAATACAAAATAAAATCATATTATAAACCTGTATTTATAAAACTGGAGCTCCTCTGAGTAACTCCCCTACATTTAAACTTGGCAAATTGGGAAAAACATACAGAGCAACATTTTCGTCAGACTGACCTAATTAGTTTTAAACATATAAAAATAACTTACATTTTGGTTGAAGAAGGCTTGTTTAATTTTTCAGTTGGGTCCTCAGAAAGCAAAACAGATCCCAGCCATATTTAATTTTACTTCCTAATAAATAAAATATTTTAATGTACCCCTTGCAATGCTCTCGCAGTCCACTAGGGGTACGAGTACCCCCAGTTGGGAAACACTGGTTTAAACTATCAATAAGGATCAGTGTGTGTGTGTGCAATGATATATAATGTTGACTGGATTCTGTCAGTGTGATATGATGCTGTTGATACCTCAGACATTGGACTCTGGACCAAGACCTGGCTCATATATATCACCGAGCCCAGGGTCTTGATGTCGTCCCCCTCCCAAAGCCGAATGGTCTCAGTGAGAATCTGCAGCTCAAGCTCCTTTCGTTTCCGCACCTCCTGACACTGAGCCTAAACAAATGGGAACAAAAAAAAAGTTTCTTCCTTTTAATCTAGCTGCAGCTAGAGGCTGCATGTGACAGGAGAAGAGCACTGAACTTACAGAGAGATTCTTGAAAGATGCCATGCACTTCAGAATATCCGGTCGGTCAGCATGATTCTCCTAAAAAGAGAAGATGAATAGCTGATAAGGTTGGGTGATATGTAAAAATGACGTGACTTTTGTGTGCAAAGACAAAACAAAACCCTCAGAGCGCTTCTTCTGCACTGCTGCTGATACTGTCAGCAGTAGTTTTAGCCTGTACATACGTACACGGCTAAAACCCAATTTTTCTTGTCAAAAATGTATAAATTTTGTCCAGTGGGAATAGCTTCCTAACTATGTTTAAGATTACTATAGATTTTTATTGTTATTAATTTATCTGAAAGTGCAAAACCGAACAGACTAAAAACTGGGGAGGAGATTTTTTTTTTTTTGATAGAAAGAGCACAGCTTCACTGGAGGGGATAATTGTCTTTTATTTTTTGTTGTTTCATTTTGTACTCGCTGTGATAAAAAAAAAAAAAAAAACTTAACAGATGCAGAATCCAGTAAACACACTGCCTCTCTCTGGTTCTGGTTCGGCTTTTTTTTAAAAAAAAAAGAAAAACACAAATGCAAACAGCTTTTCTCTGGTTTGGATCAGTCTCAAGTTGAAGTAGATAAATCACTGCAGCACGGTGGCACTGGGTAAAATATACTGCAGCTGGAAGGAGTTTGTGTGTACCATTAAAAACAGCATTACATTTTGTTTTGTTTTGGACCATAGGTCATAAAAACAAAATGACAGTTGAAAGGCTGATTCTATCGTTGATGGTAGATAGATTCTTTCAATCGGCCAACCTAATACCTGGTAAAGAAAAGGCTAAATATAGAGGTTCAACAAAATCCAGGCCATAATACACACCTCCATATGCCTCTCCAGCTCTTTGAGTAAGGTGGGGTATTTGTCCAGCCTCATAAATGGTTTACTTAGCCCGGTGGTAAGTGTTAGGATCCCTGGGATGACTGCACCATGCGCCTCCATAAACTCCCCCAGTATATCACTGAAATTGAAGAAACACATAATAATTACAGTCAGCTCCTAACCTCAAAGAACCGGCATCTCTAATCATCTGCATCTGCGTCAGCTCCAATCCAGATTTCTGAGCTATTTCTGACCGTTATATAGTGAGTCGTAGTGTATCGCTTCACTTTTTAATATAACTGGTTTATCCACCTACCTATGTTGGGTCAGCACGTTGACAGCAGAGGGATGGTTGGAACAGTAACCGACGTAGAGGGCCTTCATCTGTGGCATGAGGTTCAGGAAGAAGCTACCTACCCGCTGCTGGCTTTCTGGAAGCCTAAGCAAACAAACAGAAGCATACAAACTGTCTGAAAGCCTGTTAATGAGTGCTGAGATTTCCACGGAACACTTGAACGCCCCATCACGTGATCAGCGCCTGAACAGTGAATGCGGGGCGCAGCTCAGTTTCCAGTTTTATGTGTTGGTTTTATGAACACCAAGTAAGTTTGACGCTGCGTTGGCGTTTTTGTATCTACTTTTCCGTTTATATGTATTTTGATTCAACATAGTTTAGTCATGTTATTCCATGTATTAAGATGCAGAGCGCTGTTATTCATTACTTGTTCTCCTCAATATATGTAGCATGACAAATGTTAAATCAAGCCCTATATCCGTTTATATTAGTTCTGATGTACTTATGTGGTTTCTTTATTACAGTTTCTATGTTGCCAACTGCTCTGATTGTTATAACATTGTCAGTGTTTGATACTAGCTTACAGCAGACTTTAAAGTTTATCTATTGAAAGGTCTTAATTTAACTATATAGCATATAGAGTCCTAACCCTAGTGTTCTTGTTAATAAGGAGGACAAGCAGCATAGCTGTTTGTTACTGTACTTATTTACTTATTATCCTGATTGTATTTTTTACATTTATCTCTTTGTTTTTACAACACATACAAATACCTGTTTATTCCCAGGATCTAATGACCTGCTGTTTGAAATAGAATCCAGTCAGAAAATCTTCTATCAGACTATCTGTAGTGCTCTCACCCCAACCCAAAACCTTTTACCGTATTTGATAAATACAAAAAAAAAAAAAACATATTTTTAGTGCAAGTCTTTTTTATGTCTGAAATCCAAAACCTTTACAATACCAAGCTCCACACGGTCTATATATTGTAATGTTCAACACTAGATGTCGGTGTGTTTATGGCTGAATAAGTTGCAGTCGGTGTGAATATTTAGTGTTTGGGGGGGGACTAACTTTGTAGACTCCTCCAATGACTGAACCAGCATCTGCTGGAAGGTGCTGATCTCCTCCAGGTTCCCAAGAATCAGAGCCACATCGGAGCTGCTCAGCCTGAATGAGGGAGATCATGCAAGTAACTGTGAGTCGGGGGAAGTTTGTCGTTTATCTGTTGCCCAGATAGCAGGTTACAGATTTATCTACATCCAGCCGTACTTGTCAATGTTTTGAAGGGGTCGCAGGTAGTTCGTAAGGAGGCTTTGAAGGTCCTTGGAGTACTCCGTCTCTGTTTCTAAAATGTTCTGCAACACCTATTGAAACAAAATGAGCAAACAGGAGGTGGGTATGTTTAAAGGTGATCTTAAAGCTGGCTTCTCGTTTCCTCTACTTCTCATCCTTTAGATTGCAGAGTACATTTTATGGGATAAAGAAGACATATTAATGATTATGAGCTTATGAGAAAATAAAAGAAATATTCATTCTAAGGTGTTTTAATCAGATCAAAAAGAAATACAATGCATTTGTCTCTGCATCAGACTGTCAACCATTCCTTCCAGCACATCCAGTAATAAAGTTACATACAGACATCAAAGGACCCATCTAGCCCAACTTTATAGACCTATATGTTAAATATTTGCAAGTGTAACAGGCATCCTTACCAGATTATAGTAGGTCTTGCTAATAACAGAAGTGTCGAAGCCTTTCGGTGGGCTCTTCAGGGTGCCAGACTTTGGGGAGACTTGTTTATCCGTTCCCAGAAAGTAAAATAAATAAATTATTATTAGTATTATTAGAAGTTATTATTATTATTAGTTACCTGCGTGTGGAAATAAATAGTTATTTTACTACAAAAATGCCTTTCTTCACATCTTCCGGCTGCAATAAACTAACATTCTGTCAATTTTCATGAATCTATCAATACAGACTAGGAGCAATATCCAGTTAATGAGACCAAGAGAATTAAACAATACAAAAATATGTTTTTTTCTTATATTTTTTAACAAATAAATGCTGTAATCATCACAAACTGTGTTTTTAATCTCAGCAGAATATCTTAGATCACATATTGTGGTTTTGATGTCTGTCTAATTCTAGTTTGGCCCTAATCTAAATAATGAATAAATAATTCCTTTATGTGGAAAATATTTGATAGTGACACTGATTTTGTACGATGTAACAAAGTTAATTATATTTTACCTTCATTTTCTTTGTATAATTTCCCCAGTAGTCTGAGAACTTCAGCATCCCAGATTCTGTCTCTCACCCCTTTATAAGCTTCATTGCTTTTTTGTTAACTGCAAAGGTTTTTATCTACTCTTGTTTTTATGCATCAATGCATTTATTTAAACTGCTATTTGCACCATTTTCTATTGCTCCATAATGTTGGTTTTGTTTTGTGTTTTAAAGCCCAGCATATATTTGCAAGTTTATTTCCATTTTCTGTAACTAAGCTGCACATTTCTCTTTATTAGGCACATTTTTCGCTTGATCCGAGTATGCCACTTTGTAATGACTGCAGTGTTTTTTTTTTCAAAGATCAGGGTTTTCCTTTGCTGCAAAGTCTATTCTAATTTTTCATCAATCTTTGCATGGACCACTATGCTTTTAGTTGCCTGTCTGCTTTAGTAAAGATATAACTGAATGGGACACAAGGTGTGAGCATTACGAAACGACAGAACACATTCAACTGTAATATACCATACGTGTGAGAATGCATGCAACCCAAGACATTTCATCCTTTCAAAAATTGGATTCAAGCAGTCCTTTCTAAATAATATATCAAACATATTGTGCAGCTCAGTTTAACTACAGCAAGGTTCCTTTTTATGGGCTGGTATTTTCCATTTTGAACCAGAGCCTATAAAATGCATTTAAAACTGTAAACCAGGCAGAATTAGTTAGACAGGGTAACTTAATAATTACCTCCTTTCTACTTTATAATGAGAGCTAATCACATGATTAATCATAGTAGCTTATATTTATTTGAGCAATAATTAACAATGATAACAGAATAAACATTTTCACAGCCACACTGATGAATAAGACACACAAGAGTTTAGCTTATTGATTAGAACTGGAAGGGACATAAAGGCATCAATTAGCAACAAGAATGTGGTGAACAGATATGGTAGCTTTATTTTTTATAGCCAAAGAGCCAGAAGGAAAAATCACCCTTTAAGGCCTGCAGCACCAATTTATTAATGGTACCAATTTGGTGTCGATGTATTTCTTACAGAGCAAAAGTTTTACAAATGTGAAGACTTTTAAAGAATGAGAGAAGCTTGCAGACTAAACCAGACAATAATAAATGAAAACATGCATGAGAAACTTTTGTTATCAGACTTATTCAACTGACAAGCTTATATATAAAGTTTCTAAAAAGAGCCATTAATTAGCGCACATCAGCAGAGACAAGTGCTTCACTGGTCCAACTGGGCTGTTTTCAAGCAGAGGTTTTAGTGCATCATTATAAGCTTTTAACAAAACAGTTTTTTTCTGATTCTGTCTCAAGTGGGCAGACATGTATTGAATAATCTGAACACATTCAGTTAGACTTCATCACAACAATATCAACATTTATATGACCAGACATTAGTTTGTGTGTATAACATATGACTCTGATGCTAAATGGCCACCCCGTTTGAGAGGTGGTCTGTCAGCGCATGACCTAGGCTCTCTGTGATGGGTACTACAGACTATGTTTGTCTTTCTTAATAAAAAATAATTATTGCTGTAACTTTAACTTCCAATAAAAAAGGACCACAATATCCAGCAGGGCTTATTCAGCCAAACAAGCAGGCTTGTATTTATCAGACTATGCTTAATACAGCAAAGCCTCCAATTTTCTGTACTTGTTGCGTAGATTTTTGTTTTCTATAAGAAAAATAAAATAAGTCTTTTTAATAAAGTAAATGTGAGACACCCTTGACTTTGGACCAACAATCATATTTATTTCAAGAAAAACAGCCCGTATAGTTTATCATTGTTCAGATAAATATAAAAAAAGCCCACAGATTTACTTTTAATAGATCAAGGGTATTTTAAACTTGCCAGTTTTTGCATATTACAAAAAGTTTGGACACTATTGGTTTAAAGGATTCAGCTAAGCAGAAAAAAAAAATTTGTTTTCTTGAAAAATAACAAAAGAGACATTTTTTTGCCTGTAAAGAAGGAAGACTTAGCTGCACATTGCATTAATATCTGGAACCATGGTAACAGTGTAGGTGGTTTATGCATCGCTGAACTGTTAAAATGCATATTCCTTTTAATGGTTACGGGTTTAATCAGTCCTTATCCAACTCTATGGAGTTCATGAAACTATTTAAACAGCCCCACCCCAAGTATAAACAGCCTCCTGCAGCGTAGATAGTTTCCCTCTCACACCTTTGAGATGTCTAACTTTCTGTTTCAGTTTCAGATCAAAACACAACCTTCGCTCCATCGCACCTCACATAAAGGCCCACGGCGATACCATCTGCCTCCCCTCCAGCTGTCAAGTAAAGCAGCTGTTAAAGAGGTGCCAAAATACCAACTCCCAGGCTTTGCGCAGTTAAGCTCCAAAGTCCCAAATTAATGAGCTATTTAACTCTTACAGTCTATGGGTTTTAAGTTACAAGAAACATAATCTTCATAAACCAATCAAAGAATGCAAGGTAAAGATTACGTTCTCAATACCAAAAGAGATAATCATTAAAAGCTCTCTTGAGGGAGTTCAGAGAAAAAAAACTAACTTGTCTTTGACTTTAATATCAACAATAAATAACAAGATGAAAACCGTTTTGTTTTCATCTCATTTTACTCTGCATCTGTTGACAGAGACAGCTTCACGGCACAGAGGCGTATGCGCAACAGCTGTGCTGCTAAATTACAAGCAGCTTGAATAAAAACGACAAACGGTGTCTTGATGTTGGTGATTCTGAAAGGGGTGTAACGCGCTTTATTCAGAAAAAACATCATTTACTAATGCATGGACACCCAGGAGATCTATATATATAATAAAACTGAAGTTAATCTGTTCATCAATCAATCTAGGACTGGAACAATTAACCAGATTAATAGATTATCATTAAGTATTTTATTAATTGTTTATTAATTGGTTAATTGTTAACAGGAGTATAGACTCTAAAACATGCCTTTGGATGAAAGACCGGCACATTCAGAGCAGTAAATATACCAAAATCAAAAAATACATAAAGATTATTAAGATGAAAAACCTCTATTGTCAATATGTTCTTTCGAGAACTGCTCAAGAACAGTTTTAGCTTCAACTGGTTCAGAGTTTGTGTAAAACCTTTGTTAAGGTGGTTTTCTTGTCATTCGATTATTAATTGATTAATCAAAAAAAAAAAATCGACTAGCAAAATAACCCCTGGCTGCAGCCCTACATCATTCTTCGACTCCTTATCTGGGATTTGGTTGGCCAATCGAGAGGATAACATTTTACCCTTTTCAGACAGGCAGATGCATGCATGTTGGCTTTAACCATGAGTGTTTTATGCCAGAAAAAAAAACACAATCAAAACATCATAAATGATCTCTACCTATCAACTAACATACAAGCAAACATGTAGCTACAACAGTCAGCTCCCATTCTTCTGCAGCATTAGGGAGGTCACCCAATAGAATAAAATCTAATCCACACCATGTGCATTAAAGGGCTGCAACTAACGATTATTTTGCAAATTAATTGATTAATAATTGGATAGCTAAATATTTTTAGAAGACAGAAGACTTTACAAAATTAAAGCAGGTGAGACAAAAACTTTTCCACTTGAGGAGTTCTGGATAGAGAATATTGAAAATTAAATTCAAAATGTTTATGTATTTCTTTTACAATTTTGGAATAGTTACTGCTCTAAGTGGCTCACTCTGTCAGCAATAGGCTGTTTTACAGTCTCTATACTCCTGTTAACAATCAATCGATTACTGAATTAGTTGACGATTATTTCAATAATCGATTAATCACGATTAATCTGATTGTTTCAGCCCTAGGGCATCGTGTTCAGATTAAGAAGAAAAAACTGATAAGAACTTCCAAAACAACCTCTGAAGGAGGCTTGAATGAAATCCAATGGAACCCTCTAAAAAGCACTTTCATGTTTTCCAAAGACTTGGTAAAGAAATTGAATGATCAGGTTTTTTTATTTTTTTTATTTGGAGATTTGAGTTCAGCAAAGCTTTCCCATTTTCCCTTAAAGATGAGCACTTGGTGACTGTTGTGCATCAGAGAACAGGTGCAGCTAAGACAGATTTGCACACAAATATTGCATTGTGGGTGTCAGATATCGCTAAAACACAAGCTTCTTCCCTCAGACAGAAGCTGACCTTATAGCAGAAATAGCAGCACAGATTATGACTTTAATTGATTAAAGATGAAAATCAAAATATGGAACGTTTATATTAGGACTTATTTAGGATTCAGCTGTATTAAAACACAGTTAGTTTAAACAAAGAGAAAAATGAAAAAATTAAATGGATGCAAATAAGCTGGAAAATTGCAATCAGCATATCAACTGGTGAAGTTCAACTTTATATATATATATATCTAAAAAATTCAGGAAAGAAGATAAGGAAGAACTGGCAACATTGAGAATAAAAAAATTTCAAGACTCTTTATGTGAAGTAGGAGCACGGATGCTTTTACTTCTAACCTGCGTTATCTTAATTTTGAACCACTTCTTATGAAAGATAAACTAGTAGAATGTCAGCATTATATTTAACTCTGCTCCTGTTGCAATGTGTATGGTGCTGCACGCCACAGTCAAAGAAATCCTCAATTATAGATCCCTAACTGCTAGACCTCATTCATGTTTGAACACAGCAGGGCAAAAAAATTAGCTTCCTGTCAGAATATAATTCGATTAACATCATAACAGGACTTCCTCATTCTATTAGGCTGCTGATCCGCATCTCATTTCCAATCAGGTTATAATTATTACTCATATCTTTTGTCCCATCTCATGGCACCTACCAGAGCCTTTGACCTCGCGCACATAGTTGCTAGGAAACCAGCCGGTCTTGCCGTTGAGCATCCCCTCCCACCAGCCGCCCTCCTCCTGCCGGGTCACGTTGATGATGTCACCCTTGTTAAAGGTGAGCTCATCCTCGTTGGTCTGCTGGAAGTTGAAACGAGCCTTCACCAGCAGCTGCTGTCCACTGTTCTCTGACATGTCCTGTTGAGGCACAACAGAGACAACTTTTTATTGTATAATAAAAAATATCTGACAACTATTTGACTTTACTTTTATTACTTTTATCCAGAGCTGCGCATTTGACGAAAAGCACTTGCTGTCATCTATAAAAACCTTACCAGGCTTCGAAACTGGTTCTGCAGCAGCTTGGAGGATCGGCCCAGTGAAGCCTGAGAGGACAACGACTCAAAGGACTTGATGCGTAGGGCGGAAGAGTGTCGGGCGCACACCGAATCACTGCCCACACCGATATCTAGACAAATACGGCAGAGTATGAATAAAACAGAGCAGGTATCTGCAACCCACACAAACCGCTTGTCGTTCTTTCATAAAAACAAGCCGACACCTCAATTGATTCACAGTGAGTGTGTGTATTTTAACCAACCTGCAGTGACTTTATTCAGGGCCACCAGGCTGCTCAGCACCTTGGAGAAATTCAGGCCGAGCAGAAGGTCACTGGCCTCGAACGGCTGTGGATGACAAAGAGAAAAACATGAGCAAATTTATTTCTCTTTATGCAGCAGCCATCAGTATGTTCAGTGCCGATCGATAACTTTCACAGAAGCAGAGATCGATACTTATAAACTCAACAGACCGGAAGATTTAAAGCATCTACAAAGACTCTGCATCACACTTGGAAACATATTTGCACTACATGGCGATTTATCAAAACCCTTTAAATAGAACTCAACTCAATGTTCTACTGCTTTTTTCACCACATTTATTAATTTATTTATTTTGCACTGCTCTGAACCTTCCATATCAATGCCTTTTGCACCTTTAAACTGGTTTTCCTTTTCTTCTACACCGTTTACATTTTGATCACTGTTGCACTTTATAAACGGAAATGTTATTTTGAATACTAAGCTGCTCATTCACTGCCTAAAAGCTGTATGCATTGAAGTTTCATATTGTATACACTCTGTATACACAGAATGACAAATTTAGTCTAAGTCTAAGTTAATCTGCTTAATTATTTCAGCCCTAGTTTGAATATTTGATAAGAGAAAGAAGCAACAGCAGATCAGCAGGTTTGTTTTGGAAGAAAAGCAAAATTGGAACAATGTTGCAGAAACATTTACCAACAGCTCACAAATACAAATGTCCTTAAATAGCATCTGCCTGATGTAACAAGATGAACCAACTGGTCTGCTCTCATTAGTAAAAGGACCGGTCAGCTACTAAGAAAAAGGGGGGTGGGGTAAATAACATGTAATAACTCCACTGTCCTCCGCCGCTGCCTTGGCAGGAAGGCCTTCAAGCGTAGCTGATTTAGCACCTTGAGCTGGCGGCCCATACTGATGAGCCCACTGGGATCCAGAAAGCCCGTCTCAGACTGGGATGTCGAAAGGAGAAAAATACTCCACCACAATGGATCCATCTTTAGTATAACTTGCACTACTCTCTCTCATCACTTAATTAAGCAAGCAGCTCTTCCCCTCAAAGCATTTTTTTATTAGCAGCATTGATGACAAAAAGAGAAATATATTGACACACATTTCCCCAAAACCCTGGACGTCACTTAATCTTAAGCTGAAGTAGACGATCAAGAACAAAACATGAAAACCCTGGAGTTTGAAAATGAGAGTAGAATGACAGAGATGAAAACATTTAACCAGTATCTGATTTTTTTCAAGGATGAATGGAAGTGATTGTGTCTGTTGTTGAGGATAACTCTGCTTTCTCTTCCTCCCTAAAGACGTCATGTGATGAGTCGCTCGGAGTTCACAGAGCGACAGGCAGTTATGAGTCTCATCCATCTTACAGATATCCTCGGGGATGAATGGATCAGCGGCTGAGTTTTAATGGCAGAGTTTCAGGCACACATCAAACAGTTTTGACTAGCAATGGTAAATTTATATTATTAGCTATAAAAGATGGTCAGTAAAGTAATATATATGAAGGTAGCATGGTTTAAATAGAAGTCAGCAGATCTGATGGCGTCTAAAGACATGAGAAAAAAGGATGATAAATAATAATTTAAAATTAACTTGTTGAGCTCATTATATTTTTGTTTGAAAAGATTTAAACTATGGCTGACAATTAATCGGATTAATCACGATTTTTCCATTTTTTTAAAGCACTCGTCAACTAATTTGGTAATCCATTGTTAACTTCAGTACTTCAGACTTTAAATCATGCTTTTAGCTGAAAGAACAACCTACACAAAGAAGTAATACCAAATTTGTTAAAAAAAATAAATAAATAAATAAATAAATAAAAAAAATATATATATATATATATATATATATATACAGGTGCTGGTCATAAAATTAGAATATCATGAAAAAGTAGATTGATTTCAGTAATTCCATTTAAAAAGTGAAACTTGTATATTATATTCATACATTACATACAAACTCATATATTTCAGATGTTTATTTTGTTTAATTTTGATGATTACAAATGACAACAAATGAAAATCTCAAATTCATCATATCAGAAAATTAGAATATTACTGAAGACCAATAAAAACAAAGGATTTATAGAAATGTTGGCCAACTGAAAAGTATGAACATGAAAAGTATGAGCATGTACAGCACTCAGTATTTAGTTGGGCCTCCTTTGGCCTGTATTACTGCAGCAATGCGGCGTGGCATGGAGTCGATCAGTCTGTGGCACTGCTCAGGTGTTATGATAGCCCAGGTTGCTCTAATAGTGGCTTTTAGCTCTTCTGAATTGTTGGGTCTGGTGTATTGCATCTTCTTCTTCACAATACCCCATAGATTTTCTATGGGGTTAAGGTCAGGAGAGTTTGCTGGCCAATTAAGAACAGGGATACCATGGTCCTTCAACCAGGTACTGGTAGCTTTGGCACTGTGTGCAGGTGCCAAGTCCTGTTGGAAAATGAAATCTGCATCTCCAAAAAGTTGGTCAGCTGCAGGAAGCATGAAGTGCTCTAAAACTTCCTGGTATGTGGCTGCGTTGACCCTGGACCTCAGAAAACACAATGGACCAACACCAGCAGATGACATGGCACCCCAAACCATCACTGACTGTGGAAACTTTACACTGGACTTCAAGCAACGTGGATGAAGTGCCTCTCTTCTTTTCCTCCAGACTCTGGGACCTTGATTTCCAAAGGAAATGCAAAATTTACTTTCATCAGAGAACATGACTTTGGACCACTCACCAGCAGTCCAGTCCTGTTTCTCTTTAGCCCAGGCAAGACGCTTCTGACGCTGTCTGTGGTTCAAGAGTGGCTTGACACAAGGAATGCGACAGCAGAAACCCATGTCTTTCATACGTCTGTGTGTGGTGGTTCTTGAAGCACTCACTCCAGCTGCAGTCCACTCTTTGTGAATCTCCCCCACATTTTTGAATGGGTTTTGTTTCACAATCCTCTCCAGGGTGCGGTTATCTCTCTTGCTTGTACACTTTTTTCGACCACATCTTTTCCTTCCCTTCGCCTCTCTATTAATGTGCTTGGACACTGAGCTCTGTGAACAGCCAGCCTCTTTAGCGATGACCTTTTGTGTCTTGCCCTCCTTGTGCAAGGTGTCGATGGTCGTCTTTTGGACAACTGTCAAGTCAGCAGTCTTCCCCATGATTGTGTAGCCTATAGAACTAGACTGAAAGACCATTTAAAGGCTTTTGCAGGTGGTTTGAGTTAATTAGCTGATTAGAGTGTGGCACCAGGGGCCATCAATTTTGAACCTTTTCACAATATTCTAATTTTCTGATATGATGAATTTGAGATTTTCATTTGTTGTCATTTGTAATCATCAAAATTAAACAAAATAAACATCTGAAATATATGAGTTTGTATGTAATGTATGAATATAATATACAAGTTTCACTTTTTAAATGGAATTACTGAAATCAATCTACTTTTTCATGATATTCTAATTTTATGACCAGCACCTGTATATATATATATATATTAACATTTTGAGTTCCAAATTATTATGATCTGTCGAGGGGTCTTGAAAAGGTACAGTTCACTTGGTTTAAATTCTGTGTAAAATCTTTAAGGAACCATTTGCCATACTGAGTTGGTGCATACATATATATAGGGGTGGGTATTAGTAGCCTGACGTAGTCCGACTCAATTCTAGGCAGAATATGAGTCTGATACTGCTCCATAGAGCTGTGATTATGGGGCGTGTTTCGAACGAACCAGGAAAAAAAATGCCTCTGCACTCAATTGGATAGATCTACAACCAATAAGAGCAACGTGACGTATGTTAAGCGAGGCATAGTTGTTGTCCACAAAAATCAAAGCGTGCAATTGCACACCTATAATAAGAAGATGAGCCTTGATCGCGTTTCTCTGTTCCTCTTTTAAAATTAATTTGCTGTCGATATCTTCTAGAACAGACCTAATAGCAGAATCTACTCACCTAAACTCTCCAGCGGCAGCCATTATTGTTGTCACCCCAGCACACATTGGTCACGTGGTTGATTACGTGACTGTTGGTCATCTGTCCATCATCGTATAAAGCCCGCCCTGACAATTTGATTGGATCGCCTGACAGTGGGCGATAATACTCGCGCTACTATGGAGCAGAGCCAGACCGAACTTCCCCGACCTCAAACTTTGTGGGCGGGACTAAGTTCGGAATGGCACCCAGGCTAGGGTATTAGCAAAGAAGTTATGATTCGATTCGAATCACGATTCACATGCCACAATGTGATTCTATCACGATGCATCACGATACTTGAAATATTGCGATGCATTGCAATGCATTGCGATATTTTCCTTGAACACTGTAAGAAAAAGATACAGCCCTTACCAGTGGCTGACTGGCTGTGTGTGATCTGGATAGTGTCTTCAATTGATACATAACTGAAAGCAACCAAATTCATACATAGCTGTATTTATTGAAACGACTTTTGGAGGTGTTGCCATGAAAACAAATACTGGACAGAAATATTACTATTACTGGCGTGGACACACTGACAAAGAGATCTTAGGATTCATAAAACTTAAAATAACAAAATAAGGATAATCAGTGCCGTTTACATGGCCTCAGTGGTCCTTTTGCAAATTACGTGCATAATATGAATTTCATTTTTACCTTCTTTGTTTTTAAAGCCAGAATGCATCCAAGCATCTGACTTGAAATGTGATGGAGCCGGGGGGCGAATTTTCTCAGTTTCCTCCATATTTTGTGTACGAATGACTCGTCCCAGTATCCCGCGGCCGGACATGCTTGTGACACAAAGCAGCGAGCGTCAACACATCCGCAGCGACATCTGCTGGACTGGAAGTTGTATTCCACTTGATTTGGCTGATGTGTGCCAACCATTAATGTATTTTATTTGTTCATTTTTTTTTTTTTATATTCGATTCTTGCCTTCAAGAATCGATGCATAAGATCACAAAAATTAGAATTGTGATGCATCGTCATGACGATTATTTTGCACACCCTTACATATATATATGGTTTTAAAAAAGTGAGCTTTACTAAACATTAGAAATTGGTCACATAACCCCAGACCGGTGCAACTAAGCTCCTTTCAGTGA